GCACTTTATCTATTGTAAAAAATGGTTAGAATTTACCATGTTTTCCTGCCCATTGGCACTGAGAGTGACTGACACTTGATGGTCAGAAAAAAATGACTAAATAGATGTGTAAAAAATAAATAAATAAATACATAAAATAAAACAAAAAAAAGGGAAAAAAATCCCTACTTTCTCTCTTTTCTATGTGCGTTCATAAATTTGAAATATGGACATCGTGTTAATTTAGGCTGTGACGATATACCGGTATTGGCGATAACCACAATATTTAAAATAACAAGGACACTTATGATAACACGACACGCGAATAGCCTACTCCAGCGCCAGTACCTAGTTTACCTCCCGGGTGGCAGTATTGTGCCTTAACGCTGACCCCTGTCAAAGAAGACGACGACGCAGCGCGTGGCCGCGCAACTCACAGCGATTTCCTGTGTTCATATATTTAAATAAAGAGGTGATTCTTTTAATAAGTACCACGTTTTCTCTACTCGTCTAATTTTTGTAATTGTATTTGCAATCAAGTCATGGCCAATACATGTGCGCAGCACTTGATTTCTTTGTTCAAATCTATTATACGATTAAAACAAATCTAGAAAAACTGAGCGACCACATTGCTACATTAAACTCTGTAAAATGTTAAGTTGGTCACAGTGCCATGCACTTAATGACTGTAAATAAACACAAAAAACTCAATGTCAAGTAACATCTGAAGAATACAGTGGTCTTCGCCTTACCATCAGTCAAGATACATGTATAGCAGTTGAGTAGTCCACTGAGAACTTGGCGTAGATCAGACTGATCATTTGAAGCTGAAAGCACTGCAGTACTGATGGGTTCCTGAGATCTCTGAACCACCAGCATTGAGGCCTTCACCGCTGCCAGCCAGACAGGACTGCATCAGCTGAGCCTTGGCCACATGACGACCGGTCAGACCCCTGAACAACACATCAAATGTCAATACACAACAATAAACCATGTTACAGATAAGAGAAAGAACCATGTTACAAGAATTCTGGGTATTAGGAATTAGATGTCAACATTTTCGTCCATGCATACAGCACATTATACAATACAATACTGAACAGTTGACCTGTTCTGCTCCACATAATAATTCAAAGTCCTCTGGAAGAACTGGAGGACTATGAGAGGAAAAAAAATCAGTGACTGATTTTGCAGAATGGAGAAAGTCATGATATGCCATTAAAGGATTTAACTTACTAACCTTCTGTTAGCAAACGAAGAACACATTTCTCGCCTGTAAACCAAACAGAACAATTTTAAAATACATTACACTGCAAACACTACCGCTTGGGGTCGGAAACATTTTATTTTTGATTTTAATACTCACCAAGGATGCATTTGACCAAAAAAATACAGTAAAAACAGTTATATTACGAAATATTATTATAATTTTAAATTTTAAATTAATGAGAAAATGAGTGGTCATTTTCTATTTTAAAACATTTTAAAGTGCAATTTATTCCTGTGATGGTAAAGCTGAATTTTCAGCATAATTACTGCAGTCTTCAGTGTCACATGATCCTTCAGAAATCATTCTAATATGCTGACTGGATGTTCAAGAAGCGATTCTTATTGTTATCATCAATGTTGAAACTAGTTGTGTTGCCTAGTAATTTTCTGGAAACGGTGATTTTTTTTTCAGGAGTCTTAAAATATAGAAAAATAGAAAGTTTACAAGCACAACGTTTATTTAAAATACAAATCTTTTGTAATGGTAAATTACAAAATGTTGTAATTATAAATGCATGTAGTGTCACTTTTAATTAATGCATCCTTGGCTGATTAAAAGTAGTAATTTCTTTTTAAAAAAAAACACTGATTCCAAACTTTTGAAGCAGTGTGTATCTGATATTATGATAAATTCTAATAAAATGACATCACTTAGACATACCGATTTTAAAGCCATCCAGACAGGAAGTGATGCTATCTGTTAAGTGTGAGCAGTGATCCGTGCTCTTAGAGGAGAGACAGGAGGACAGGCTCTCAGACAGACATCCAAGAGTCTGCTCCTGCAGCCAATCTGGACCACTAACCTAGTGCACTGGTGGAGAACAGATAAATATATGTGCACAAAACACCCAGAAGTCAATATCTCCAAATGTGACAGCGAAGTGTGGGTACTTTTAACCTTGCTACAGCTCTCTTAAGTGGGTTCTTAGCTGGCAGTGTGGTCAAAAGGAATGCTAGTGTGCTCAGGCAGGCCTGCAGTAAAGGACTCATAGGGGACTCATCCTTTCTCAACTGCTCCAACAGGAAACCTGCCTGCAGTCAACATACAAACCAACGAATTAAAAAGTGATTACATTCAGTAAAATTCAGTGAAGATCTATAAGATGAATGTGATGCAGACCGACTTAGAGATGAGCTGGATCTGCTCAACCGGATCGGAGGATGATAAACTGTTCTTTAGAACCTGAGCAAGCTCTGTGGATCTGCTATCCCCATCCACAGACAGGGAATCTGAGAGAAGGCATGAGATATTACAGGAAACTATATGCACAAGCACAAAAAGATGATTTCGGTCACTCACCTGTCAGGCTCTTCAGCTTGACATCATCCAAAGCTTCAGCCTCCACTTTAGGTGCTTTCTTCTTTACAACCATGACTAGACCTGAGACAAAACGACAACTGCAGATGTGTGTCATAAATTAATTGTATAATTACTTCAAACGATCATACAACAACTGCAGAAGATCAATTTAAGGAAGTTATAGCAGCTCTGGCTCAACCTAATGTGTTACATAGTGCTAGTCACATTACTGTTTCCTGCTGCTATTTAAATTACATTCTCCTCCACACCGAACACGCCGTTTACCTACACATTCAAAACATTCTGAGACATGAAAATATACTGCCACACCTTTGTAACAAAGCAGGAAGCGGTGAAAAAGGTCAATGCTACAAGTAGAAATAAGTATTTCCACAGCAACATAACATACACGTGTGACGCGTCAATTCCGGAGTCGCGCTGGAAGCCCGCCCAGCACAAATATGATTGGTTCAGGCACAGCACTGCTGATGCGTGATTGGTCCATGAAAAGTCAATCATTCATGACATCACCGTTTTATTAAAAAACCGTTCTAACCACACCTACAATGGTTTGATTGTGCGTGCTCGTAAAAACACGCCCCCGTTCCCGCCTACTTCCACAGGACGATGCTGGAGTGAAAACTTTGAGCTAGAAAACGGTCGCTCTTTATTTCATAATTAGGTCATTAGTGCAAAAACGACTGCGACGACACGGAATATTATTTTTATTATGGTGTTGAAAAGAGTGCCATCTTCAGCACTGTAACACAGATTCCCGGGTAAGGATAAAATCTTTAACTATTAACAAAAAACGTATTGTTTATGTTTCTTGGCAAAGGGAATATAAAGAGTAACTTACTTAAATATAAAGTTTATATCTCTAATTATTCAAATATTCGATCAAAACAGATTCTAAAATTATATATATATATA